GCCAGACATTTTGGGCGCTGCCAAATGTGTGCCAGACGCCAATTTATTTATTAATTTTTTTAAAAATTCAAATCATTTTAGTCCGTCTGAAATTTTAATATTATATTTGTTAAGGGTGAAAACATCTAAAATTAATTTGCCAGACATTTCTGCGGTTGTTAACCATGTCTGGCAAGCGAAAATGTCTGGCAATATGATACTAGTTTATAGCATTTTAGTCAGTCTAATTTTCATTTATTTGACTTTGAATAGGTTCACCAGACTCATATTTTTTGTTGCCAGACATTTTGGGCGCTGCCAAATGTGTGCCAGACGCCAATTTATTTATTAATTTTTTTAAAAATTCAAATCATTTTAGTCCGTCTGAAATTTTAATATTATATTCGTTAAGGGTGAAAACACCTAAAATTAATTTGCCAGACATTTCTGCGGTTGTTAACCATGTCTGGCAAGCAAAAATGTCTGGCAATATGATACTAGTTTATAGCATTTTAGTCAGTCTAATTTTCATTTTTTTGACTTCGAATAGGTTCACCAGACTCATATTTTTGTTGCCAGACATTTTGGGCGCTGCTAAATATGTGCCAGTCGCCAATTTATTTATTATTTTTTTTTTAATTCAAATCATTTTAGTCCGTCTGAAATTTTAATATTATGTTCATTAAGGGTAAAAACACCTAAAATTAATTTGCCAGACGTTTCTGCGGTTGTTAACCATGTCTGGCAAATAAAAATGACTGGCAATATGATACTAGTTTATAGCATTTTAGTCAGTCTAATTTTCATTTTTTTGACTTCGAATAGGTTCACCAGACTCATATTTTTGTTGCCAGACATTTTGGGCGCTGCTAAATATGTGCCAGTCGCCAATTTATTTATTTTTTTTTTTTAAATTCAAATCATTTTAGTCCGTCTGAAATTTTAATATTATGTTCGTTAAGGGTAAAAACACATAAAATTAATTTGCCAGACGTTTCTGCGGTTGTTAACCATGTCTGGCAAATAAAAATGACTGGAAATATGATACTAGTAAACAGAGTGAGACAATTGCCAAATACATTGGCGCGAATGAAACAAAAACTATTATACTCGTAAGAGCGCAATACTTGTACTAGCCAGAAAACCATAAGAAAACCATAAGAAAAGTAACTATGTTAGATAGATGTGTTTATTATAAACTTCTCTGCAAAATTGTGTTTATACAATTTTTTTTTAGAATGACCATTTCTGACAAATCGTCATCTGAAAAGTTAAAAAATTCATATCCCTCATAATATGCAGCCTTTATACATAATCGAAGGTGAATTATGAGTGAAAAATAAGAATCCATTGAATTGTGTTGGATAGATGAGTTTAATGAGTCTTTTGATATATCACATTGTAGTATCAGCTTGTTCCTGGAGCAATACCTGCCAGATTTATTGTTCTAGTGTGGGAGGGTCGCATACCTGATTGTTTTGAAGGAATTAAACGAAATAATTATGTAAAACATTGCTCAATTTACAGCTAAAAGGTGAAAGAAAAAGAGCGGAGGATGTTTGCTGTGCAATATATATTGTATATATATATACTAGAATTTGAAGATTCTATTCTAGGCGTAGCTTGATAAGGTAGCAAAACTAGTATTACCAGTATTAAGGTATGAGTTACAATTAGTTGCTGCTAAAGCTAAGTACCATGTAAAATGAAATCATTCGACTCAGTTAACTTAGCGATAAAAAAATATTTGCGTACAACAAAAATAATGATTATTGTCAGTTCTCATCACAAAACTTAAAAGATATGATATTCTTACGAAATTGACAATGTTTCTTAACCCCCGTCGAGTCAAATTTTTAAAAATATTAACAGCAATATTTTAGAATCATTAAAATATTTTTTAGAGCTAGTAAAATTAAAAAAATGACTAATATAATGCAATTTTTATTCTCTCTTTTCTAATTAGGTCTTTATTTACCTTTATTTTATTTGTTTTATGAAAATATTGTTGAAATTGCATTAACTTTGAATAGTATACGTATTGCGCTCTTACGAGTATAATAGTTTTTATTTCATTCGCGCCAATGTATTTGGCAATTGTCTCACTCTGTCTACTAGTATCATATTGCCAGACATTTTTAATTGTCAGACATGGTTAACAACCGCAGAAATGTCTGGCAAATTAATTTTAGATGTTTTCACCCTTAACAAATATAATATTAAAATTTCAGACGGACTAAAATGATTTGAATTTTTAAAAAAATTAATAAATAAATTGGCGTCTGGCACATATTTAGCAGCGCCCAAAATGTCTGGCAACAAAAAATGTGAGTCTGGTGAACCTATTCGAAGTCAAAAAAACGAAAATTGGACTGACTAAAATGCTTTCAAAATTTTGAAATCGCGCTGTACAAATTGGCTGCGCACTAATTAACGCAACCAGTTCCAGCTGCCAGACGGTCCTTACCCTAACCGAGAGAGCACCAAGAACCACATACCAAAAAACCAGCCTGACTAAAATGCTTGCTCGAAAACGTTGCTGGCTCCCGTACTAATATATGGCCCTACGGCAAGTAGTAGTACATAGTTGAAAACGAATGAGTCGGAGTATTTTCTAAAAGCAAATTTTTACAAATCAATAATTTTTATAATTGAACCATTTTTCAAATCATTTGTCGTAGGGCCGTAATATTTAAGTAAGTTTTATAAGACCATGATATATATCGCCAAGAAAAGTTCCATTTAATTAATTCCTTAAATATTTTTTCAACAGTTAATTACAAGAAAACAGTAGATTTTCACCTAAAACTGATCGGTATCATTCCCAACTGATATCTTTCGAACAGTTTTTGATTTTTTAAAATCGATTCGGTAGTATGAGCAGGGGCGTATTAGCCGTATCAAAAATACGAGGCCCCCGAGCCAGGGGGGGTGCCAACATCCGTAGGCAAATATTAATAATAAAAAAAATACTTCTCAAAAAGCGAATTAATCGTGAAAACTTTGTTCAATCAAATTTAATGTCATTAAAAAAGAACGCGAGAAATATAACATTATTATTTTATAGAATTTTTTTTACCGGGCCACGGGGCTCCAAACGTGCGCAAAATTTAGTAGAAACTTATAAATTTTCATTTTATTTCACAAATATCAAAAGTTAAAGTAAACATGAAAACTTTCTTCCAACTAAATTTAATTCGTAAAAAAAACATGGGCGTGTAGAATATAAAAATATAATTTTAGAGGGTTAATTGTGATAGAATAGAAAACTAGCATTTTATTAAGTCATTTCTTAAATAGGTTGTGAAAATTAAAAAATCAAAATTAATTTAGCAGTTTGCTAAATGTCTCGAAAAATTAGCAGAGAAATGGAGCGAAACGACAGTTTTTAAAAACAAAATGCAAAGGATAGCGACCCGTAATCTTATTTCAAACTCAACTTTTTGCTAATTAAATATATTAATTTCTCATACTAAACATAGATTTCAGAGACTTTGATTCAATTACTATGTTCGAAAAATTACAACTGGGGTCATTTCGCAAATCACTACAGTAAGATACAGTGGAATCATCTGTTTTAATTTTTATAACCCATTAGAGAGTTAACAATGCATTGTAAACTCCCTAAAAATATGTTTAAAATATGACATTCAATACTTATTTAGTTTTGCATACAATTTTCCAGAAGTAATTTTTGCATACAATTTACCCAGTTGCAATCGCAAATGGTGAAGTTTTCAAAGATATGATAATGGAAATTCGTTTTATCAAGAAAGTCAATAAAAAACTATAGCCAATGTGTATGCGGAATTTGAATTGTTTGTCGAAATTTGGGAAAAGGGCTATATGAATATTGATGATAAGTGAAGATTTATTAAATTTATTTATTTATTATTTTTATTTATTCAACGCCCGAGGCAATAATTTTAATTTTAATTTTTTATTCGAGAAAATTCTGCCCTACCTGAGAGGGCCCAAAAAAAAATCTGATACGGGGCCCCGCAAATGCACGCTACGTCCCTGAGTATGAGCTTAAATGTGGACGAAAAGTTTAACACTTTTCTTTAAATTACAAAAAAACGGCTCGGCTGATCGTTGCACAAAATTGGCAAACGATAGTCCTCATTGAGATACATCAAATGGCTTTTAAATTTCTGAAATCGATTCAGGCGTTTTTGAGCAAACATCGATGAAAGATCTAATTTTGACAAATGCCAAAAAAACGATACTAACTTTTGCAAACTTTTACGAATTTTTAAAGCTAAACGAGTTGTCATAGGGCCGTTATATTTTAGTATGATCTAGAAGACTATGGTATCTACCGTCAAAAAAATAATAATAAAAATCGTCGAAATTTTTTTTAACACTTTATTTCAATCGGCCCGGCCGATCTCTACCAAAAACTAATCAGTATCTTTCCCAACCAATATCTTTCGAACGGTTATTGAATTTTCAAAATCGATTCAAAATCGTGGACATTTTTTTTTTCACTTTTCTGCTATTTACGAAGAAACGACTTGGCTGATTGTCGCACAAAATTGATAAACGATAGTCCTCATCGGGATACATCGAATGGTTTTTGAGTTTTTGAAATCGGTCCAGTCGTTTTTGAGAAAACGCCGATTTACCTCAAAAAATCTGTTCACATACACGCGCGTGCACACAGACACACTCAAACACACACATACTTTTATACTTTTACCAAATTTGGCCTCATTCGATTAGCATTATTAATTGAAAGATTTATTACATAAATATATTGCATATATAGTAAGACGTTTATGTAAGAGTATTTACATATATATATATATATATATATATATATATATATATATATAAATAGTTTAAACTAGTTTAAAACAGATTGCCGCCAAAATTTAAACCAAGATGGCGGCTTTTGTGAAACGTCAAACGATCTTGAAAACTGTCAAAGAAATAAGGTTAGTTTATATAGAAATGTCTTTTCAATAATAAAATAAATAGAGAATATGCCATTTACTTACAATACATTATAAAGAAAATGTAATTCTTAATTATAAAGAAAATGTCGTCAAAAAATGATTCAAAATGGACATCATTAAATGCCATACAAGAACTTAATATTAATGCCAAATCAACCAAATCTAATTGTGATGATTCTATAATTAATAAAAAGAATGTGATTGAAAAAGCTGCGCAACAAAATGAAAACCCTGGTGAAAATTTACCCCGGGAAGAAATTCTTAGGCGAAGAGTTCTCCGAAGAAAGGAAGAAAAACTTCAAAATCGCCTTGCAAAAATGGAAGAAATGAGGTTACAATATATAGACTCTAATAAAAGCAACAAAATATCAATCATAGATCAAAAAACTAAGGATTCTTTGCACGATAAATCAAATACTACAACAAGCTTCAATTTTATAGGAATTAATGAGAAAGATGATTATAAATCAATTAAATCGTCAAGAAAAACAGATCTTATTCAGTTGCAATTAAGTTCTTTGACTATAAGTGCAAAGAAACAAAATGAAAAAACTACCAAAATTACTACTACTATGACAGAATCTTTGAGGAAAAGGGGAAAAGTACGTGAAAACAAGACGAAGAAAATTACTAAGCTGAAGAAGAATATACTTCAATGCCGAAATGAAAAAAACAATGAATCTTGCACTGATGAACAAAGCGATCATCAATTGAACAATTTGTCAGAGACAATAATCATTAATAATGGCTTTGAAAATATGAAAGAAAAAGATCTAATACTGTGTGAGTAAGTATGATAAATAAATATTGTATTATAAAATAAACTCACTAAAAGTTGAAATAAACATTAACTGAAAAATTATTATTGATTTGGTTTTACTTAGTTCTTTAAACATAACCTTAATGAAGTTAATAACATATTATAATTGATTTTAGTGAAGAGAGGAGGCATCTACTCACCGAGTTAAAAAAGCACTTGAAAAGTCTCATAGAATCTCTTTATAATTTTCAAGATCGTGCATATAAAAAGAATCCTATTAGAGCAAATATGAGGAGAAGATATGTTGCCGGGTTTCATGAAGTTCTGAAGAGTGTCAAAATGAAGAATGTATTTTTAATCATAATCGCTACAGATATTGAGAAAAAAGGCTGTGAAGGTATGATGTAGATTTATACTTAATTAAATTAAAGCAAGTTTTATATTTGTAGATCATTACTTTATTAGAATCTTATTATTGGTCTTGTACTGAATAAGTACAATGATGTTTTTTCATAAATAGTTAAATGTTTTTTTACCTGTTTCAGGTGTTGTAAATGAAATTCAGACAATTGCTTCAGAAGAAAATGTTCCACTCATATATGCTTTGAAACGAAGAGAAATTGGGCATCTTACTCACAAAAGAGTTCCGGTGAGCTGCATAGCAATATTAAATAAAGAAGGGGCAGAGGATGTGTTTAATAAGTGTTTGGAATATAATGATAAACTTATGCATGGAAGAGAATAGTATATAAAATATTATTTGTCATTTACGATATGTTGAATCTATATATTTATTTATTTAAATAAAACCAAAACTATTTTTGTTTATAAATGTACTTTTAATTAATTATTCTGAATGTTAATTGTCTTATTTAGTTAGAAATGTTATTGAAGTGTTGTAAGTCCACTTTTTTAAAAGAAATGAGTTATAAATCTTAAGCTTCTTTAATATATATTTTTATAGTGTCTAAAATCAAAAAAAAATTGTTAAACTGAACTATATTTCAAGTTAATTTTTTTTTTTTCAAAATTGAAGTCAAATTTTCATAGCTGTCTGATATGATTTAGTAGTTAATTTTGATGTTGAGATATATGAGTAAGGCCTTTAAGGGTGATACATCAAATAAAGGAAAAAATGAAAATTTATAAAATAATTAATTCCAAATGTTCGACATACAATTTGATGACATCATCAGTGGTTATTATACAAGGCTAATATCTTATTAGCCTTGGAGATCATAGCTATTACATGTTTCTGTGCAAAAATCCCTTAATTCTACATTTTTATGAAACAAAACTCTCATTATTTTTCCGATTTACAAAAAATTCATGACTGGTTAGTTGTATTAATGTTAAAGCAAACTTTTGTGCCTTGTACACATCTTTGGATGTAAAATACCAAGTTCAATATCCACTAATGACATCAAATTGTATGTCGAAACGTTTGACATTAAAGATTAACATCATATATGATAATCATTTTAATAAAAAATATGTATTGATTTTAAATGATATATATATATATATATATATATATATATATATATTTTATTCTAGTGATTAAAACTATGGAATATATATATATATATATATATATATATATATAATAGGTTATATAATATATATATATATATATATATATATATATATATATATATATATAAGGTTGTTCGGAAAGTCACTTCGTTTTTTTAACACCAGAATTTAACTATATTTTTTTGAACCTAACATCACAATTAAACCCTGTAATTATTATATGATTTGAAACCTTATATTTTAAGGCTTGTGTGTAAAAAATTCTAATCCCTAACATGCAGTAGTTTTGGATGGTGCCACTTTGGATACGGAAAAAATTAAGCATCATTTTCGACATATTTTACTGTTTTGTTATAGAAAAGGTAAAAAAAACTGTTTAAGTCAAAATGAAATTGACCTATGTGTGCGGAAATGACGTGTTGATAGAAAGACGGTGCCAAAATTGGTTTGCTAAATTTCATTCTTGGTATTTTGATGTCCAAGATGCACCAAGTCCAACAAATATGCATGAAAGGCATTAGTTGATGCAAACCGACAAATAACAATACATGAGATCCCATTGAGTAAAAATTTATCAAATTTAACAGTACATGAGCACTCAAAAGATCTGGGATTTTCCTCGAAGCTCAATGTATGGTTCTCATAGAAAGAAACCTGTGTCATCGCACTGGCGTTTGAGATTTGCCTCTGAAAATTCCTGAAAATCAGGTCTTGAAGCAAATTGTCACTAGGAATGTCAAATGGGATGTAAAGAATAGAATACACACAATTGCCCATGAAACAAAAAAGAAAAACCTGCTCAAAACAGGTGCAAAGCTAAAATTTGCCTGAAAACGGTGGTACAGTATGTTTGGCAAGACTTTAAAGAAGTTGTTCATTTTTCAGCTTTTACAGGATATAATAAAGGTTAATTCGGATACCTTATGTCATCAGGTAAATAAACTAAATGATATACTTCAATAGAAAAGGTCAGAATTAACCCACAAGCAAGGTATAGTCCTGCATCAAGACGAAGCAAGACCTCACAAAAGTTTGGTCAATCGCCAAAAGCTTTTTTAGCTTCATCAATCATATTCTGCAGACCTGCCATCATAGGACTATTATTTGTTCCGGCCACTAAAAAGAAATTTAGGCGGTACAACCTTCACCTCAAACCAGCCTGTCAAAAAGCACTTATTGTTAGATCAATTTTTTGCCAATAACGATCAAAAAATTTATGATTTCAGTGTGGGAGTTTGGCAGCAATTATGCTAATACCAGAAATATGACAAAAGATGTTCGATCAAAACTGCCAATACATAATTTATTAAAGTAATTGCATATTGTACGAACATTACGTGCCAAAATGTCTATAAAAAACTAAGTTACTTTCCGAACAACCTAATATAAATTATATAATTGAATGTCATTTTATTAAGGATTAATTAAGGTACACTTACTTCTAATAGCAAACAACTTTGGCTTCAACTCCGATTTGCATCATAATCTGATTTTTGACACCTTGTACACCTCCAACTCTGAACACAAGTACTTTCTCGTTTTTTGCATTTTTATGCAAAATTATAATTATTAACACATTTATTCTTCGACATTATGCGACAAAACGCATTGACACAATTAACATGAGCTTCTTCGAGGTTATGCAGGCTGCTTAACACCTTCGCTCGGCAATTTTCGCCATACTTCCGATCCTTCGGATCCCGAAGATTGACACTTTGCTATTGACAGTTAGTAGTGAAGTTAGATATGAAAGGTAATAGTGAAGTCTACATCGAGTGATTTCTTTTATGTAGTACCAAAAATGGTAGAAAGGACAACTGGTAAAGTAATAAATGTTTATTAGAAGTTATTACCCTAGACAATATGGTAATTACATAGCATTTTACAATGTTTATTCACAAATTTGCGATATCTAATTCAATAGATTATTCAGTAATAACAGTTTTGTTCAATTTATTTAGACTATTTCCCTTACTTTTGCCCAATTTTTGTAGTTCTTTGAGAACATTATCAGATGTAGTAACACATGTTAAATTATTTGTCTCTTCTAATATTGATTTGAGAGTTTTACTCAAACCTTTTAATCCTACATTTAGTTTTTTAAAAGCCAGTTTACTTTCCTTGTTGGTGAAAAATTGGTAGCTTAGATACACAGATAAAGGAAGAGTGCTTAGATAAATATATTTATCTAAGCACTCTTCTTTTATCTGTGTATCTAAGCTACCAATTCTTTACCAACAAGGAAAGTAAAAGACATAAACTGGTAGATACAAATAACGAGACTAATGAACAGGCTGACAGGTGAATTGGTAGGTTAGTAAAATGGTGGATTCTTAAACAGAGTTGATAGTTAAATTGGTTGATAGGTTCATGTCAAAAATATCCACGCGTAAGGATCACATGCAATTGAATTAAAACTTATTTGCTACTGTACAAGATTGCATTTAAGTAAGGATAAATACATCATATAACAATTTTGAATAATGTTTATTAGTACAGTAGAACTCCAATTATCCGAACTCCGACTATCCGAATCGCCGATTATCCGAATCACTTTCAGAAAAAAAAATTGTCCAAAAAAGTCTAAGTTACAGTCAAAACATCAGCTTACATTGACGGAGATGTTTAATAAAAATGATTTTTATTTCTAACCTTAATACATTTCTAACCATAAGTACATTTTATTAACTTCCCGTAGGGTAAGTTATTGTAATGGGCCGAAAATCGGTATTGAAAATTTTTACATTTCTCGACGTTTTGAAGGTTTCTGAACGTTTTGGCATACCTCAGAAAAAATGGATGTGTGTGTGTGTGTGTGTGTGTGTGTGTGTGTGTGTGTGTATGTGCGGATACAAATTTCCAGTCACGTTTTAGGGCGCACGGATCAACCGATTTGAATGGTTCAAAAAACATTCGATTCCTATTGATAGGGAAAAGAGCTGATTAGTTTTTGGCAAAGGCAGGTCCAGCCGTTGCGGAGATACGGAGCAAAGAGTGCAGAAAATAGAAATCGAATTTTTGAGCGAACGGAGTATCCGATTTGAATGATCTAAAAAACATTCAATTAGTAATGATTGGGAGAAGTGTTTATTAGTTTTTGGCAAAGGCAGGCCCAGCCATTTCGAAGATACGGAACTAAATATGTAAAAAATGGCAGTTTTTGAGAGAACTAAGCGTCCGATTTAAATGATTCAAAGAACTTTCTGCTTGTCTTAACAAAATAATTGATTTTGGAAAAAAAAAATTTGTTCCAATTTTTTTTTTTTTTTTGTAGTATTTTGTATATCGAAAATATTTCAGATTTTATTTTTAATTCTGACTATAGGTCTAATATACTTTACAAATAATTTCAACTCTGCAATTCGGTTTATATAATTCTTATAAATATTACACAATGTTACAATATTAATAATAATCTATTTGAAAACATTCAGTATTCCTCGAACATTTCGTTACGGTGCGGGAAGTTCCAGCAATTTGCCTTAAGGCACGATGCCATAATTGCCTCAAGACAGAATTCCACTTACAGCTAGTTTATATTTAAAACATGTGAAAATATCATGTTTCTTTCATTTAATTCAATAAAAAAAAAATAGTGCAATATCAAAACCTAATTTTTTTTCTCTCCAAATGCAATTTTTTTAAAAAAAACTGATTATCCGAATATTTGATTATCCAAATGGGTCCCGGTCCCCATTAATTCAGATAATTGGAATTCTACTGTAATATGGGAACACTCGTGATGCACACGGTTATTAGTGTCAACCATTATACACATTTATATAATGATAAATTATATATTTATAATAGCATTAAAATTATATATAATATTTAAAAACAATCATGTAATTAAAGTCATATTTCAAATATGACATGATCAGTTTTTCATTGAAATTAGCATTAAGAAATGAACCTTCATTAGAGAAATGAACTAATTGCTGATTATTAGATTCTTTAATATTTGTTCACACAGTGGATTATGTCAAACGACGCCTAAAGAAATATTGTTTTCACAATTTCACTTATCATGAAATAATTGTGTTTGAAGAACATCATGTAATTAAAATTAACACATATTTATTGACTGCTTGTATTTTTTTTACTTTTTCGCTGGCGATATAATCTAATTCTTTGAGGAGCTGTAATATCTGTCTTGCCTAAAAATATATTCGATTTTAATAACTTCAAAGATTCATAGAAACTACGAAT